GTCCAAACCGTGTACGCATACATGTATGGGTCACTGACTTGCATATAGAACCCAATGCTATCTTCCCTATCACACAGAAGATGAAATTATGGCAGAAAGGCATATACGTCATTCAAAGAGTGCATAAAGAGTATCATTGGGAGTGGAAGGCGAGCAGATCAACCCATTAGCACAGCGATGGCCAGCCTCGATTGCTGGAACAGCACAGTTTCTCTCATTAGAGTTGAATGTGTGCATGTTGACATTCGGTTCTGGAATGAAGAGTGAAAATATCTGAAGGATCTGGAAGGCCGAAATCTCACCTAAACTGCCCCCTGAGATTCCCACGTTGAATGGCACAAATTGTATAGCCGCTATAGCTGACAGCAAGACACCGCCTGTTTTCCCTATGCTAGAGTGACTACTTGTCCTGTAGATATGAGTTATTCTACCTCATCCTCATCGCCATTTTCATCGCTACTATCCTCGTGATTATTAGTACTATCGTCGGTACTGTCGCTGCAACTATTGTTGTTGTCGTCGACGTTACTATTATCTATAAGAGTAACTATGTCCGTAGAAAACATAGTCGCGTAATTAGACATAGGAAAATTAGGCGGTCTTAACAGAACGAGTTCCTACTACTGATACGTTCATAGAATCCAACTAAAGCTGGTAAGGCTCTAATCTCAGTTAAGAGTGACCTAGCGAAAATGTCTTTCAACTTGGTTATGTTTCCTTCCCAAGGTCACCGCTGATGAAAACCACCAAGACAGCTGCATACCTTATACGCCAAGTTAGTAAAGGAATGATAGACCCTGAGGGCGCCTACTCACGCGGCAGTAGCACCAAAGACCTCTGATCTCTTAGCGTTCGTTAATAGACCGACACTCCCAGCAAATATGACGGTGAACAGCCCGACCAGTCCAAGTTTAAGATCATCTGACTTGGTCTTGTATAAAACTAAAATGGCGCCCATCATCAACGTGGCCGCGAGGATGGTACTTAGGTATGATATGAAGTTCGACAAGCGCTCCCCAGAAGCGCGACCGACTAAAGGGTTAACTGGGACACCGTGTCCTTGTTTTTCCTTTGATAAATTAAGCACGCAAAATCAATTGACTTTTGGTTTTGATAAGCTTACCCTAAACAGAAAGCCGAAGTGGTCTTGCATGAAGCCAGTTGACTTATCCGATTCGGTCATATGTAAAGACAGCAAGTCATCAATGTCGTCATAAATTGCTGCGCTCTCGCCCCCGAGCATTGGAAAGCTGTCTGCACTCCCTGGACGCCCATGGAAAAAGTTGAATGTGAAAGCTTTGTGCACCCTCCGATTGGGTGGTGGTAACGAAGCAAGCGTACTCTCAAATATCAACGCTTCCCCTGTCGGACCGTCAACATTACAAGCTTGTGTTGTAGATGCCACGAACTTACTGTAATCTCTGGTCGTCTTATTTATCTTTTCCAATAATTCCCTGCGTTCTGCTCTTGATTGGTAGTCTTTCCAGCTTCTCAGCGATTGAAGGCTTTCCCGGCTACTTCTATCGGCCTCGTCAAAAGCATCTAACTGTTGCTCCAACTCCGCCATTTGACTTTGTAAATACAGAAGGTTTCTTGCTGCAAGTCGGTTAAACCTCTTGAAGATGGCAGTGGTTCCGTCCCTGTCGCTAGCTATAAAGGAAGCCAATGCTGGAAACCCGTCCACATATGTCTTCTTGGGATGTGACCGAGCAGGCTTTGCGTAGCTTGGCAACATCATTTTGACTTAAGGATTATTGTTTGTTAATAAGTATGAACGACGATATAGCCGATCAAGCAAAGAAATGAGCAAGACAAATGCGCTGATAAGCTCCGCGTAGCCTGGCGCCAGATCAATATCTTGAACTACCTATAGAATTTCTTGTCTATTGATGAATTTGCTATATGTTGGTGTGAAGTTGTAGCCTAAATGTCAGTCAGCCCATGAATCTGCCTTATGACGTGTCTAGAGTCGATTGGCTGCGGATATCAAGGAACACGTCGTGTGATAGGCTGTCGAGCACGCTTGCGGAAACTGCTTCAGCCCGTTGCCGTTCCTACTTCATTCTTAGATCAAAATCTTCTCTTTTAATGCTATGAGGGCCAGAAACCGTTAAGACTCAACTATCTCTGTCGCTTTTCGACTATGAAAGACCCATTCATCGGCGCGGGCGATGCGTCGCTATCGCCCGTGTTGGCCCCTTTCCACCCGCATTGGGAGCCTCGCGAACACTTACTGCTCGAAGACGAGTATTCTGACGGGGAAGAAGATCTGCATGCTGTATGAGATATTTCCTACCCGACATGCCAGACTCGTCACGTTGCCAGACATACTAACTTACAACCTGCCAATATGCTAGGATGATCCATGGCACCCCGACCTAATGGACGAAAACAACCGCCCAACCCCACAGCCGCCGAAAGCTCTCTCAACGGAGGACCCCCTACGGAAATCGAGTAGAAAAGATCGTCTGCTCCTGAGTATTATGAATGGAGGCCGGATTTCGAACGCCGTTGAGAACCAGGCTTTCGACGAAAGTCTCTCTGAAAGGTTTGGCTCGTCTAAGCAAGATGTGGCCTCTCAAGGCACACAAAGACGGGGGCGACGATTTGTTCTGCCCTTAAATATTCATGGACAGGTCATTTCGACCTGTCCTGACAGCGGGTCCGACGCAAATATCATGTCGCTAACAACGGCACGACAACTTGGTTTGGTCCTGGAGATATCACCAATTCGTGAGCGCTTTTCGCTTGCAAATGGACTCGAAGTCCAGTCATTAGGTCAGATAACGACTACGTGTTCTTTCACAGATTTGTATGCACAAAAGCCAGAAGAATGCACTTTTCACATCTTCTCGGTCTTGGCCGTACCTGTGATTATGGGTATGGGTTTCCTGTCTGCAACTCAAGTTTTCACGATCCACCGCAGCAAATTGATTGCTGAAGAAATTGCGTCTACGGAATTATTGAGCGTCAACTTTCTTGGAAGCCCCCGTAATAGCCTGGTCTGCCGCTTGCAGACTCACGTGGCTTGTGCAATCATCGATACTGGGTCTGATCTCAACCTCGTTAGCTCAGACTTTGCTCAGAAATTGGGCCATCGTGTGGTTCCAAACCACGAGAAGTTGCAGCTCGCGGATGGAAGTTACGACTACACGGCTGGACTGATCACCATAGACTTCTCATTGGGGGATGTTGACGAGAACTACCGGTTTCTTGCACGGAGTGCAGAAAAGCAACTTGACTTCCATGTTCTGAAAAGCTTGAGTACAGACGTCTTGATTGGCTCAGACACAGTCGACGAGTTCGCTGTGTTTCAAATACACGCGGAGTCATTCGTTGAGAATATATCATGTAATGGACTCGGAAATACGAACATTCTGCGTCATATCGGGAGGGCTGAGTCTTGGATCGTGGAGCAGTGCCGTAAACTACGAACAGGCCTCGAAAGAGACTCCAATCGGAGTGCTGAAGTAATTGGTGAGACATTTCCCACATGGCGCAGCTTATGACTGTATGATGAAGCTCACACAGTGGCAGAAAATCTAGATGTGCAACAGCAGCGTGAAAATGATCGCCGAGAGAGAGAGAAATCTCTGCCGATTAGAGACGAGACGCCTGGGCTTGACGCACCCGCATTTGACTACAGTATAGATTACGAGTCACCTGTGGAACATTACCCCCATGAAACACAATTGGACCATTTGGTCCATTTCAACCAACGATACGACCAAGGTCTTATCACGGCAATGCGAGCGCGTAGGTGGCGATCAGTGTGATGATTATGGGAAACTAGCTAAGTGCCTGGGCAGGTGCCGCCGCAGGCCTTGTGCCTGACGGCCGCGGCTATGAATGCCCGTTCTGTCCCGATCCAAGCCACAAATGGGCACGACCAGATCTCCTCCAAAGGTAAGTCAATACTTGGGCTTGGCTTCACCTTTCAGACTATTTACATGTCAACGAAGACATATTCGACTTCACCACGGCGACAAGTCCAGAGGCGACCCCTTGCTTCAGGAAGTGCTTGCTCAGCCAAAGACCAGACGGTCTAGTAAAGGCCGGCGGCGGCGGAAGGTCATCTTTGGGCAGTCTCGATAATTTTTCTATGGATGAAGTATTCGCGTCGCAACATCACATCACAGAGGTAGTGAAAGGGGCCACTACTCAAGCACGGCAATATAAAAATCAATATGTATCACCAGGTGCAATGAGGCACGAATCATTGGGAAATTGAGGTTAGCTAACATATCCGTGCTGTGCGAATACCCTTACTCAACGGCGTCTTTCTCCTCGTGAAAGACATAAGACGATGGGTGTGAGGCAGTCATCACATCCAGAGAACGTATGCCAACATTTGAAGTGCCAGTAAGATAGAAATAAATACCTAACTGTACTACACACGTGAATCGTTCAAAGGGGGGAAGAAGATCCCTAGTTTTTCAGCGTCCCAGTTGATATCCAGCGCCATTTGGTCAATAGAAGCCGCCGTATCGTCAAGTTCACCCTCGGGGCTGTCGTCTCCCAGCTTCTTGAACAGCAAATCTAACAAATCTACCGCCCGTATTGCTTCGGCGGACCACCTGCCCCACCCAGACCATATCTGGTAGCTTTTCTCCAACATAGCCTCCATCTCTGGCTTGCTGACTGAGTCACCGACCTGGCCAACCAGGGGCGCGTTGGACCGGCGGTACAAATACGTGCTCAGGGCTGCGGTTGCGACAAGGCACTCATGGACCACCAGGGCAGACAATTTGCTTCTCAGCGCAGTTAAGGTGCCGCCCGGCTGTGTTTCCGTATCTAAAAACACGAAATGCTTGAGAACATCAAAAGCGGCGCTAATGCATTTAGATCGTGCCGACGACGCCCAGTCCTCGTGTTCTTCACCAGAACTATGATACGCCGAACTTGTGCGGGACATATTCCGTAGTTGGCCTTGAAAAGGGATGATGCGAGTCATGTTATAAAGACAGGTAATCATAACCCGGTGCGCCACACTGACCGGCTTATCTGACAAGCAATGTACGAGTGAGGTGAACTTGAACCTTTCTGGTATTGCTTTCTGGTATTGAATCGTACGTTATCTTGAGATGAGCTTCGGCATTTTGCACATCCTCTTGGGATTCTAGCTTGTTCACCAGGCTCAAATCCACCAGCCTACCCATGGCGAGGCTCATCTTGTATCTCACCAGCAAGAACGAAACTTCGGTAACTTCGGTGTCAGCACGTGATGCTGGCAGTTGAACGCAGTTCATATCGTCGAGGTCGGCGTCCAAAATGTTGCCGGGTGGTTTAGTGTTCCATGTCCCATTCGAGATGATCCTCGGCGCACCGACGAGCATGGCCATGGTGGTGTCGAAGATGTGTACAGTGGCCCAGACTCTGCGACGGATCTCGCCCTCAAAAGAGCTGATGCGCGGGAAATTGGATGGGTCTCGGTGGTACCCCATACGAATTGCGAGCTGGGCTATCATGCCGGCGACCATCCAGTTGCCGACCTTCGTTACGGGGTTCAAGTAGAACTCTGCTAGATAGTAATGAATGAGACACTCAATGATTTTGGGTCCTCCGCGAACATAGTCGGCAGCAATAAGGCACTGAACCAACGGCTCTAAGTACTTTGGTTGTGGTTCGGGGTGTCTGTGTTCAGGGTTGGAGGAGAATAGGTCGGCAAGACTCAACACCCCATACAAGAGACCCAACCAGGACAAAGAGACTGCTGATGGATTGGCCCAAAAGCTTTCGTACTGTGCAATTTTGAAGTAAGTCACAGAGGTTCCATGCAATCTTCAACGATAGATAACTGACCTGCTCAAGAAATTTCGGTGGATGCACTATGCGTGCTGCATACGCATAGACTCTTAGACAAAGTAACGTCGGGGGATCGGGAGACCTGCCAGGCAATATAGATATTTCGTTGAAGTACTGGAATACCAAACGATCTGCTGCACTCCGTTCTGGCAAGGCTGACAATAATGTCTCCTTCGATACCGGCTGCATAGATCCATACAGCAGGAGTGGCGTGTTAGATGCCGTTCTACAGGTCGTGTCCGTAGGTTCAATCTGGGCCTGTGTTTCATCTATCTGTCTGAAGTCATTTCTGAGATCAGAAATCTCATCCATGATGGCTTCCCAGTGCGGACTTTCGAAATACGTAGTCCCCTTTGAGCTGATGAGCATCGTGCCTGGCTCAGCAGACGGCACCGGCTGGGCCGATGTGGATAGAATGCTGGGCTGCGCTACTAGTCCCGCATTGTCATGTTGCTGCACACGCGCAGAGTTCATATTTGAAAGCACTAAATTCTCAATGTGCTTCAGTCTTTCTTCAAGATTGACAATACCAACCTGCGATTGGGCCCGCAGAATGGCTGGAACCTGTGGACTTCCACTTGGATCGCACGATGGACCAATGCCTCGAATAGTGTATGCGGCATATGGCTGGCGCCTGTCGCATCGTAGTCTTGATCTCAATCAGCATCTTTTTCAACCAGAATGAACATACGGAGATGGCAGGCGTCTTACTTCCTTTGCCGGCAGAAGCCGCAGGAAAGCTGCTTCTTGTCTCTTTTGCGGTGCGGGGGCGGAGTCAGCCGTGGCTCCGATGCTGCAGCGTTGTCTGGCAGAGGAACGGAAGACATGTGCACCAGGTATGTAATACTGTGAAAGGACTGTTTTGAGTCGTGGTCGGCTACTGGCATCTGATCCATGAAGCAAACCCTCCGGAGGATTCGACGTCTGAACTACATTTACCCGGGGGCGTTAGTCAGCCTGCGTCAAGCGCAAAACGCCCCCTACTCACATAGGGGGCGAAAATACTAGGTTTCTATATAAAAGACTAGTTTCTACTTCTAACATTCCTAATAACTCTATAGCTCTAACCTTAAAAAGGGCTTTTTATAGCTTATAATTAACTTTTGAAAATTATAAAAATTCCTATACAAAAATTATCTTTTAATATATAGTAGTTCTTTTAATATTTATAATATTAGTTAATATAGAGCTTAATTATAAGGGATTTATAACTTTAACTTTAAATATAAATAAGTAGATATTTAAAAAGATTTTTAATAGAATTAATATATATTATACTAGTTTATATAAGTAAAAGCTAATTTAATATTAGATTTTTTAAGTTTTTTTGAATTTTATTTTTTTAGGATTTCTAAAAAAGAATTAATTCTTAAGAAATAGCTATTATTAATATTATATTTATTTACTTTACTATACAGTATAGTATTATTTAAATATACTAATATAATATAAAAAATTTCAGGCTGCTGGCCTTATATTATGAAATTTAACTAGTATTAACTGCGAAAGCTAGATTGGTCCCCTCACCCTCTACTAATAACCTTTAGGTTATATAACTACTTAGATATCTTTTTCGCCTCCACACTCCTCTATTAGTTAGACTTTAAACATTATAATAAGCTAAGTTAACTATCTTCCTCTAGCTGCCTCTATCTCTATTAGTCTCCTTTATTTCTTACGCTATATTCAATCTGTACCTATCTTCCTCTTTTCTACTATTTAGACGTCTACACTATAAGCTCTGCTAAGTATAGTAGCCCTAAAGCCGCTATACTATTATATTATGTAATATCTTCTACTTTACTATATAGTCCTAATAAAGAGCTTTATTACTATTAGCTATACTCTTAATATATTCACTCTTCCTAACTTACTAATATTTAAATAATTAAGCTACTTTAGCTATTTTAAAAAAGCTTATAAAGTAATTATGAATATTAACATTATTATTGATAGCTTTAACTATATCTATATTAATCTTGAAGCTATATAACTCTAATATATTACTCTTATTAGCTATCTTAAATAGGTACTTCTAAGCGAATTTAAAGAGAGTTTTCTTTTTAGTAAAAAGAAAGTTATTCATTACAACCTATAAATAAAGATAACAGCTGCATAACCTATTAGGTTATCAGGCGGCTAGAACAGGATATTTATACTATAAGATCATAGGAACAGCAGGTACTTATTTAGAACAGAAGAACTATAGTATAAGTTATGTGAAAATAAGATAAAACTGAGTAAGCAGTGTGGATTACTAAGCACTTAGAAAGGGTTACTAAACGCTCACTAGTAATTACTAAGTACTTACTAGTACCTAAAGAGGAATTAGTAATATAATAAAAAGACTATCTAGAACTTATATATAGTATAACTTTAAGCTTAGCTTATAGTTAGACTTCCATAGCTCTTTAGTAATTAACCTTATATTTATCCTTAGGATACTTTCAGCTTACTTTTATTATAAATAATTTATTAAGTTTAACATTAATCATTTTAGCTTCTAAAAACTGATTTATAATAAATCTTATAACTTATAACTTAGATTATAACTTTAGTATACTATTATTATATATTAATCTTGCGCTTCTATTAGTTGACTTTATTATTAGATAGCTAACTATAACATTTTAATTACTTCTATTTAGTAAATTAACTACTAATATCTACTAAATAGTATAAATAAAATATCTTTTTATATTTCTATTAAGTTACTTACTTTAAGCTTCTCTACTAAATAAGTAACCTATAATTTAGCCTAAAGCCTTAGTAATTATAAGATGAAGAAAAACTTAGAAGAAGATAATAATAATATAAAACTTAAACAATAACTAGTAAAAGCTAATAGTAATATTAAATAAATTTAAAGTATATTTAATAAAAACATTTAAGCTATTAATAACCTTTAGAAAGCTTTTTAATAAATTACTTTATAAGCAGTTAAATTTAAAGATAAAAACTAAACCTTTTAGGCTATTATTAATATTATTATGATACCTCTCTATAGAAAATAATAGAAACTTAAGCTTAATACATTAATTATTTATAATAGAACTTTAGGAACTTTTAAAAGATTTCTAATCTAAATTAAAAACTATTAGAACTTTTATTATAAAGGTTTTACTAATAAAACTAAGAAAATAGTACATATAGCTATTTATTTTAGGAGAAACATTTTCTAATAATTTAAATTAATTTAAAAAGAGTATTTTAGGTATAAAACTTTTAATAAGTATACTATAGAAATTTGTAATATCTATATTAATTTCTAAAAGTTTAAGGATATACTTTAGTTACTTTTTAAAAACCTTAATAAGAAATAATAAGCTAAGAGAAACCTTTTGTAACTTTAATAAACTAAATTTATTAAAAATTATTCTACTAATTTTCAGTAACTTAACGTTTAGCTTAATTTTACTAAAAAAACTAAAATGTTTATTTTTTACTAAAGATTAAAGGATAAAGTTAAGGATGAAATTATTAAGGTTAACTAATTTAATAACTTCCTCTAATATATTAAATTTATTATTAAGATTAACAATTAACTTTTTAAATAATATAAAAAACAAAGCAATAAATATTAGAACTTAAACTTAAGATATAAATACAAATAATAACTTTAATAAAAGTTTAATAGTTAGTATAATAATAGTAAACTTTATAATAATTAGAGTAATACTTAATAAAATATTATTTATAGATAATATAGTAAACCTATAGATTTTAGTATAACTACTAAAAGTGATAATAAAAAACCTTAAAACTTTAAATATTATAACTATAACAAAATAAGATATATTACTAAGAACTATAAATAACCTAAATAACTTAACTAGAAATTCATATTTAAGCAAACTAAATTAATTAGTATAATAACTAAAACCTTTTATATAACGTGGTTCATCAGTCAGCCGGACGTTTTTTCCCACATACACAACAACATCTAGTATTTCTCAACCACAACGCATTAAATCAACTATTAGTTGTCGCTATCAGAATCTCCTGAGGGTTCGACATCTTTAGAACAGGTTTGCGCGTTATGCCCAGTCTCACCACACATACCACAGCGTCTCCGAGCTGGCTGGGCTCTCTTTGATGGACCCCCCTCGTCGTCCTCTTGAGGTGCTGGACGTTTCCCTTTTTGTTTCCCTTTAAGCAAAACCTGAGATTCCTCTATACTAAGTGCCCCTCTAAGCTGGACCTGCGTTCTTTTAGCCCTCTGGCGCTTAGCAAGTGCTATATTTGCATCCTTAAGGGTATAAAGCTGATCAGTCAAAATAGTGATTAAGTGCGCTATTGCCTACGCACCCTTTGATAATTGCTCAACTGAAGCAATAATTAGTGTCAGTGAGCTTCCTTGATAAGCAGAGATATAACTTTTGATAAAGTTGGACTGCGAGACGGTTTGTTGTGGGTTAGAGGGCGTTTGCAACTGCTAAGGTGGAGGTGTTAAAGGGTTAGCTATAGGAGGTGTAGGCGTCTGTAAATGCATATCGAGCTTTTTGATGACATGGTCTGGGTCCTATGGTGAAATTCCAGCGCCTTGGAAAGCAGACCTGATGTTTTCCTCATTAAAAACCTTGTTATGGGCCTGGTGGAAGGCAACAAAGAACTCAGACTTAGTGATATGATTTATAGAGGCTCTGATAAATTAGTTGATTTCATCACCATATGCGCATTTTAAAGGCGAATAAAGGGCAATATCTAATAGCTGTAGTAGATGCGATAAATATGCAGGCATACTGACGGTTATAATATTATTCTGCTTGCAGTAATCATTAAACTCAGCTGATAAATAGCTCTTATGGCTGTTGATAATAAGCATCTAGTAGACGCCCTTCGTTTGGTTCTTAGTATGTTTATCAAAGTGTTTAATCTAGTTAAGACCTATCTGATTGTCCGTCTATCTATTAGCAGTAGGTTTGATCACCTAGTTGCCTGGAAAACCTGATTCCATGGTCCAACTGGCAAGGTGATATACGCCCTTCACGATCACAAACGGAGGGATGCACCACCCGCCCAAATTAACATATTCAATAGCTGTAGCCTATTCATAATTGCCAGGCTGGACAGACTTTGCTTTGCTGCGTCGATCAGCGCGTGTAACCACTATTAACGCGGTGATCATACCCATCATGAAGCCAGTTTCATCAAAATTATATAGGTCCCCCTCTTAGATGCCATACTTAGCCATTATGTTGCATAATAGCGCAAACCACTTTGATATAACCTTAGGATCTTCTTGAAAAGCCCTTTAATAATCTTATAGACGATTAAACTTGGTTTTCAGAGCAGGCTGTGAGTCCACAAAC